TTCCCGTTTTTCTTGTTATTCTACTGAGCTAAGGCAGTGTCAAATCGAGCTATCACAACTGATACCACCTTGTATTATTGCATCATGCTTTGATTACACGTGTATGTTAAAGTTTTTGGATTCGGGTTATGCGTTTGGACACAACACCCGAAAATCATTATACAAATAACTAAACCGGACCCAAGTTTCTCGATAAGGGGCAACAAAGATTTTGTTTTGCTCGTTTATATAAAGCAGTAGATAAAAATATAGGCCCTTATTATGAGTTGCATTCGATTTTCAATGTTCGCTGGTTATCGAAGATCGAAAGTGAAATTCGTATTATGAGCTATGCAACCGTGTCGAAATTTTCCTTGAGTATTGAAATTTCTGTCGAACAGAATTTTACTTTCGATGGTGTAGCGAAGTGTTAGAAAATTGTGAAAAATTTATGATTTTGCATTTGTTTTCTTACTTTTTGGCGGGTAGACACTAATTTTAAACAATTTTTATCAATTTCATGTAGTTTTAACGTCGTGAATACAAAACACAAGCTCGAAAGGCTGCTTTTACTTGTGAAAGTAAATCCCAATACTCAATTGGCACGATCTCTGAGAACAAATCATAGAGCTGTGGATAGTTTTAAAATATTTTAAATAGATTTGGCTCACAAACGCCTTTTTAGAAAGTCGGAAGTTTTTAGTAAATCTGTTGACAAATTTCTTAAATATATTTTGTATAAAAATATATTGTTAAGACTACACTTAAACTCTCTTAAACATTTACTACTCCTGGCCAGTTCACTAAACTCTCATCCTCTGACGAATCGTTGAACCCCAGAACTTCGTTGTACTAATTTTTACCACGTTTTTATAAACTTGCTTTCTTTTTTATTTCATTTTAATTTGCATAAATTTACATAAATATGTATAAGCACACTATTTAGTTTGCTCGATTTGTAAACAAAGCTTCTCAGCGGTCAAAAATATACTATTGTAAACAACATAAACGAGAGAAGTTCACAATAGCGCTATTCTTCATCGAATGAGCGCCATAATACCAAATGAAAATTCGTTCGATCAGCACTTTCGACCACAGTCGAAGATCGAATGTAACTCGTAATAGGGGCCTATACGTATATGCGAAAGGCAAATTTATCTGTTTAAAGAACACCACCAAAATTTCTTGTAAACACACATCGATTTACATCTTTTATTTCGCCTCCGACACAGAATGGTTTGCGTACAAAATTACGCAGAAAAGCTTACTCGTTCGTTTTAAGGCATGCCATTGTTACGAATTTCGAAAATACGATTCGGATTGGAGCATACTATTTCTACGATTCGTAGCAAAATCCGAATACGAAAAAGTTGTAGAATAGGGGTGATATTTAACTCTGGACATTCTGCAAGCGTGCCTTATACATCATTTAGTTTGTTGGAAGGTTTCAATGAATTGATAAAATTTAAAGAAATAGAATAGTGTACAAGACGGGTACACTATTTCATTTCAAATTTTGTTTGCAATATAGAGCGTGTGTGAATCGGTAACAAAGTTCGCGTCGAGTAAATTTTTGACAACTATGAGGTGAATTAAATTTCAGTAGCTCATGAGGCTAGCGAAATTTTTGACAAATGCATAGAAAATTTTGACAATCGCAAAGATTGTTTATGTGTGTAATTTTTCGTTAAATAAAAGCTTAAATAGATGAATTGCAATCAACGATGGTAGATGCTTTCTTAAAATATTCATTTCACTTCAATTTGTAATATTTTATTCCAAATAAATCTGCGGTTATGAAAAATTTACTGCTGTCAAAAAATATTTCATTTCACACAGCAGATTGGCAAAACTGTCTCACCATAGTAAAAATATTTTTCAACAGCTTTCCCCATAGAACTTTGTTACCGATTCACACACGCCCATAATAAGTAAAAAGTAAGTAGTAAAATACTTTACGTTATTTTAATATTACAAGAACTTAATATTACAAGGATTCGCTTAATGATAGTGCAAGTGTACCATACACTATTTGCAAACAATTGTAGTACTTACTTTTTCTCGCATACCGAGCGGTTTGCGAGCTCTCGCATGCTTTCAACTATCATTTTGGTTGTTTGACAGGTATTTTCTCATTTCGCAGAATTCTTCAAAGTACCAACATCGTTTATTTTCGTGGAAAATACAAATTTAGCCTGCAAAGCTCGAACCTTCCTCTTTGGCGACATTTTACAAATGGAAAAGTATGCTGTCAAATGTCCAATCAACAAAACCCTATAACGAGTTGCATTCGATTTTCGACTGTGGTCGGAGCTGATCGAACGAATTTTTATTTGGTATTATGGCGCTCATTCTATGGAGAATAGCGCGAATTTCGCTCGTGTAGGTTGTTTACAATATGTGCAATCCCGTATTCCTCGGACTCGGACTAGTAAAACTGTCAAAAAATAAAAATTCGCTCAGAGCGAGAGAGTAACATTGAAAAGTATGGGATCGCTTTCTAGTAAAAATTGGTAACTTCTGTCAACTTCAACAAAACCTCCAAATTTTGGTTGTAAATTTTTGCTTATTTTGTATGTAAACACACTCAGCTCACACATGCAAATAACCAAAAATACTTTCAAATTCATTAGAATCAACTTAAACAAGTAATTAAATACTTTTCAACATGAATTAGCAGGGTGCACTTTTCTTTTGTTTACAATTTGGTTGCCAAACACACTACAGCTAATCGTTTGACACATTTACCAGAATTTACCAGCAAAAAATTCTCGGACTAAAACTGGTAACTTCTGACAGAGGGAACCGTATTTACTCCTTTTTTGTCCTCCCAATCGCAACTATTGTAAATTTTTTACCGCTGAGAAGCTTTGTTTACAAATTGAGCAAACTAAATAGTGTGCTTATACTTATGTAAATTTGCGCAAACCATAATGAAATAAAAAATAAAGCGAGTTTATAAAAACGTGATAAAAAATAGTGCAACGGAGTTCTGGTTCAACGATTCGTCAAAGGATGAGAGCTTAGAAAACTGGCCAGGAGCAGAAAACGTTTAAAATCTATTTAAAATATGTTAAAACTATAAACAGCTCTATGATTGCTCTCAGAGATCGTGCCATCAGAGTATTTGGATTTTCTTTCATAAGTAAAACTAGCCTTTCGAGCTTGTGTTTAGTATTCACGACGTTAGAACTGCATGAAATTAATAAAAACTGTTTAAAATTAGTGTTTAGCCGACAAAAAGGATGAAAACAAATGCAAACTCGTACATTTTTCACAATTATCTAACACTTCGCTACACCAACGAAAGCAAAAGTCTGTTTGACAGAAAATTCTATACTCAACGAAATTTTCGATACGCTTGCATAGCTCATAATACGAATTTCGCTTTCGATCTTCGATAGCCAGCGAAGATCGAAAATAGAATGCAACTCATAATAAGGGCCTCTATCGAGACTTACAAGCATGTGAAGATGGCCAGTAATTCGTATGATACTACGTTTTTTCCTGTATTTTTCATTTGAAATACAAACAAAAAAAAAACTGACGAAAGTCAAATTGCAAAAACAATTCCGCAATGTGTTAGAGAGAAACAAATTCTGTGTGAAAAAAGCTAAGTTTTGACATATCCTTACCGAAATTCAAATAAACGAAATTAAAATTTGCGTAGAACAATTTTGTTACATAAAAAAATTAAATTAAAGTGGTGAGACAATAACGAATTCAATTTAATTGTATTTCCATTTTGCTTATGCTAAGAAAAAAACTCGTCTGGCAAAATGCAAACAGCTGTGTAAGAAAAACGAACGAAATACAGCCATCTGTCAAAAAACCTAACGAAATACAAGTTGGCCGGACTATTTTTAACAACCTAGTTTGTTTTTCGTCAGTTTTTCTAACTTTCTCTTTCTTTCAAAATACAGTATAATAAAATACACTCGAAATACAAGAAAAAAATGTAGTATCAAACGGGCATTGGGATACTAATGTAGGGTTGCCACTTGTTTTCGGTTCTACAAAATTTAACTAAAAAATCGTAATATGGATATCAAATGAAAGGTATTTTTGAGAACTTAAGTCCGAACAGATTTTCGATGAGGGTTGTCACGTTTCTTTGTAATACAAATTTGTATTTTGTTAATTTCCTTAAGCTTTTTTTTATATGCGGATATGTACCGCTCAAGATATGCAATATTCATCTGAGCCTATTTCTAATAGGGTTGCCACCTAATTTTTAATGTAAAGAAGTTGCTTACTTTATAAGGTATCAAAAGTCAGTTTTTTAATTTATTTCCATTATATTATTGTATAAGTGCAGAATAGCTCCTCACCCCGAAAAAACGGAATAGTGGGCGTGGGTTGCCCTTTTTTGTTTTGCCTATGAATTAACAAATTCTTACAGACTAAGTAAAATAAACTTCAAAAGTAATATTACACTTGCTTTGACATTTATTATATAGTGAAAATTTCGTATAGTTCGTTGGTAGATTTAAATACTTACGTGATTGCCAATTCAAAAAAAAAACAGTAGATTGAGAGACTACTTATTACAAATTGTATATCAAATAAAATGTAATATTGTAAATGAAAGGTATTCTAATTAAATGTACAACGGTGTTAATTTTTTAAAAATCGGGTAAGGATTTTGGGAAATATGGTGATTTTAAAATCTGAAGCTATTATACACTTGTTCCATATTATTTTTTAAGCTACCCAAATGCCCAGTATTTGAAATTTAGGGGACTCTGCCAGTGGTAGGAGTCGCGGCAGGGTCCAAGGCTACAACAACAAAAATAACAGAAAGGACAGGCCTCTTTCTTTCTTCTTTAGTTTCTCCTCTTTTGTCACACACAGTTGATATCCTATTCTACCATGTATGATATCTAAATGTTTGTTAGTGTCAGCAGGTAAGATGACCTCGTTTGAAGAGAAATTTATAAATTTAGTATAAGGCAACGACTTTTTATATGATACATCTTATATAACGCACTTAGTACATTCAATATGAAATGTGCAACGCGCTAGTGGGGTACAATAAACCGACCGACCGAACAAGCAATTACGATTCGGTCTTTATGTATTAACTTTTATTTTTATTTCAACAGTAATAATAGAACAAATGTTATTTTTCTTATACCATAACAGGGTACTGATGTAAGTTCGCAAATATCTCGTAAACATAATAAACGTCGCAAGTTTGTACAGAGTATATCTTTACAAATTCTCTAATAAAACAACTTAACAAGGGATTCGTAAACGTTAGAAGCCATTCTGTGCGCAAGCCTCGTATATAACTGACGCGCTAAAACATAACCAGGCAGTAAAACTGCAAATATGTATGTAAATTTGCGAACTTTCATAGAGCCCACTATAACAAGTTTACTTTAACATTGAACTCCTCTTTTTAAATTGATTTCATTTAAGAGTACATCTTTCTTCATTAGCTTTCTATAACCATCAAGATGCAAATAATTGAAAACTTGACTTTTCATAAACTCCTTTGCTTCCTAGCCCGAGGTGGATTCCATGATACGGGTGTTGCATCAGTAATTGAAACAATGTTGAGTCCACCCATTTGCAACCCTTTTATGGCTGACTGTAATTAAATAGAAATGCATATATTAAATTTAGCATATTTATATGAGTTCCGTAAAAAGCATACAAAGTTAATTTAAATATTTTCTTTTTGATGAATGATAAAATTCTGTCTTTGTAATGGGATATAAAAACAATTATAACCTATACAGACGCTGTATAGTGCTTCGGATCGAAAATCTAGCTTGACGAAACTATTTAAACAAATAATCTTTGATGGATTTTGACACCACTTCATATCCAGGGGATTATTGGGTCGCTGATTACGAATCTGAAGTCACTTACCAAAAATTCAAAATGGCGGACGAAAAATTTAAACAACTAAGTAATATATTTCTATGAAGCTGGGTATCTGAAGGTTTTCTGGTTCGCTGATTACGAATATTCGGGTCGCTGATTACGAATCTGAAGTCACTTACCAAAAATTCAAAATGGCGGACGAAAAATTTAAACAACTAAGTAATATATTTCGAAGCTGGGTATCTCAAGGGTTTCTGGTTCGCTGATTACGAATACAAAGTCATTTACCAAAAATTCAAAAGGGCAGATCCAATATGGCGGATGAAAAATTAAAAATATTTATAGGTTTTTATGCAACTGGCTATATGGGGGTTTCTAGGTCGCTGAATGAATACAAATCTAAATTCATTTACCAAAAACTAAAAATTACGGATCGAATGTGCCACACGAAAAATTTAAAAAATCTTAACCCTTCATATCTGAAAATTTTTTCTTTAAAGATTATACTTATGACAATTAAAAATTTGTTAGTATTTCTTTGGAAAACAAGTTATTCAAAGTTTGGTTGTGATTATATGTTTCGCATTATATTAAGATTTTTATCTTATTTTCAACTCATAATAACAATGACTAAATACTTTTTAAAATAATTTAATAAAACAGATAATTCTCTAATAAACAAGTATCATAACCAGGGAACGGATTTTATGGAAATTGCCTTTTTTTCTGCTAAAGAGATAGAGTATATTCGATTAAGAATGTCCACGATTTAGCTTTAGTTGATTCCATATATAAACATTTGATGTTGCCTTTTTTTGCCTTTTTTAAGATATTTGACTTTTCTACCTTTAAAAAAGTGATTATAGCATTTAAAATTTTTTTTTTAAGATTAAAAAATATACACATGCCCATGCGGCTTATGGAAGCGCAGGGACCTCTTGCCAATTCAAAGCCGTTTTCTCAGCTAACGTAGGCTTGGAGACAATAAGGGGTTTGGATGAAATTGTAAAGGGCGAGGAAAATGCCCTTATTCCTGATAATATGAACGTTTCAACTTGTATCAACTTACGTCGAGCACACATTTAGTACATTCAAGGCTTTTCTTCGCGAAAATCGAATGAAAATGCTGCCAGAAAACTTCAAAATGCATCTTGTGGTTCAATGTTACTACAACTATACAGATTAAAGTTTTATGAGTTAGAAACTCGAAAGGATTAAACAGTCAAAGATTCAAAGTACAAATTTTTTATATAATCAAACTTGTTCATAGTTTTTCTCTTTTTACTTATAATATAAACATTTCTAAAAGAAATGTAATTTTTGATTGTTCTTCGTATTTTCTGTCTTTTTTAGAGCCTTATTTTGCTTTTTTTTAAATACCTAGTGCCTTTTCCTGCCTTTTTCGCTATTTTGTTTTGCCTTTTTTGCCATTTTTGCAATAGCTAGTGCCTTTTCCTGCCTTTTTCTCTATTTTATTTTGCCTTTTCCAGCCTATTTCGTTATTTTATTTTGCCTTTTTTATAGGTTTTTAGGCCCTAAAAAGCCGTTCCCTGATCATAACTATGCAACACTCACATATTGACTATTTATTTTATTATTTGATTTTAATTATTATTTTTTTTATAAAAACATGGTTTGTTCTTTAACAAGTTTCAAACTTTGTGCAATATTTAATAAAAGCAACAAAGTTTCTTAAAAAATTCGATGTTTTTAATTGGATATCTTAGAAAAATTTTGCAGTTTTGTAGCCCATTCAATATTCAATAACAAAGTGGAAGTTTTAAGAGGTTAAGAATGGCAACGTCTTGCGCTTATTTGCAAATATTACCACTAATCAATACTTATTTTCGTGACTTAGCTATTTGCAAATAGGGTTGCCAGATTTTGAAACGGAGAAAGGAGTACATTTATATTTTCGAAAGAAAAAAAGCAGTACAAGACCTAAAAAAATTTTAATTTTTAATTTTTTGTGCAATTTATTGTTACAAATTACCATAAATTAGGTACAAATAAACAAAGATATTTTAGAAATCTTTTTCAAAGCAACAATAAATGTTAAAAATAAATGACTAAATGGGCGGGCTTCGCAATAAGGGCGGTCGTTAAAGAGATGGTGATTAAAGGGGGAGTGGGCGTGGCACCCAATTGTGATATTTGGCGATTTTTCTAAGGCGTCCCTAGGGACCCATAGGGGGCCTAGGTGGTCGGGGGTGCTCACGCCCACTCCCCCTTCGCTCACCACCTCTTCAATGACCGCCCTTATAGGAAATTTTCCCCAACTAAATTCTACAATAGAATTACAAACTCTTTCTGAATATATGGCCAGTTTTTTAATTTAAGCATTATAATTAATTTAATATTTTTCTGATTTTTATACCCGAGTGCTCTGCTACGACCATGCCTACACCTTTTCACTATCACACTTAACTTTGCTTACTAAGTAGTGTTTGCCACAATATGAATGGCAAAGTACAGGGCGTAAGATAAAAACTGTCGCACAGGTTTTTTGAAAAATAAAAGGGTCCTTTATAGATGTTGCGAAAAAGAGTATTTTTTTGTTAGCTTTGTAAATATTTTACATTAATTTTATTAATTAACTTTAGAATTTTAATCCTTATTTGCATTTGCCAGCTTTGGGAGATAAGATCATGCGGCACTCACGTCTTTTATAGGTGTACTTTTTCTTAGACTTTGTATAAAAAAAGAGAGAAAAAACTGTATAGGGTTGGTCTTATGAATGCCCTCCTAGTCACCGGTTCGGAGTCTTTCCGATTGCTGAGTATGAGGCCTTATGTTGGACAAAAGACGGAGTATAAAGGATCCAAATGGGGGATATTAGCCTATATTTACAGAAGATATGTACTAAAGTAACCGATGAAAACTTGCGTGCCGCTTGCGCTTTTTTCCCAAAACGAATTAATAATTAATTATAAATAGTTAATAAAATTTTCGCAAAATCTATAAAGGCCCCCTTTATTAAAAACAAAAATAAAACTGTGCGACAGTTATTATTTCACACCCTATATTAATAGCTGGAAAAAGGAGAACAACAGAAGTACAAAACTAATAAAGGAGTACATTTCCATATATTTTTGTTTGGGAGTACAAGGGAGTACAATGCAATAAAAAGGAGTACGTGTACTCCCAAAAGCAGTACGTCTGGCAACCCTATTTGCAAATAAATAGATAACTCAGTCTTAGGGTAAGAACATAGTGGAGCGGCGAGCAAAGAGCATCGAGCAAAGCGTCGATTTCAAACGCATATGCCTCAATGGGAAAGCGCATAGTGAAGAGCAAAGCATTCATACACGTTTGTAATTGAAGCTTTGTTCGATGCTAGCTCTCCGCTTTGCTCGCCGCTCCACTATGTTTTGACCCTTAGAGTGTAGCCGCGTTTATTTGCCTCCACCACCGCCCTAGAAAATAAAGCCAACAACTCAGATGATGAGACATATGCACAGGGAACGCCTACCACCACCGACGACACATCGTCAGAGACAACAAGCAGAAATAGTAAACGGAAAGCACGTGTGCGTGTGTGAAGTTTACGTTATATCACCACAATGAAACACAAGAGTCACAACAAGAAACGAAACACGATGAAGGCAAGGACATTACAGGTGGCTGGCAGCAGTGCACATGGTACAAAGTCTTCGGATAACGCTGAAGGTGGGTTTATATAAAATATTTAATTGTACTATGTCTAAACGATTTTAGGAAAACGTGGAGCAAAACGTGGACTGGTGCCAAGAAAGCAAAGCTTTTTGTGTGGCACCTCGAATGGTCCTCCCTTGCTGCAATCGATGTTGGGAGCTGTAGAAAGGAAGTGCTATAGAGCAAAAATTATAATTTATTTTGGAACGAATATCCATCTGAAGATGGCACAACGCCGAAACTGGTAAAACACAAAAATTATAAGATGAACAAGTAAGAAAGTCTAAGTTCGGGCGGAGCGGAACAATAAATACCCGGCGCAAGTACTAAGGCAAATAACTGTGTCAAGTTTGGGAGAAATTGGTGAAGCGGTTATCGAGATATACACATGTAATCAAATCCGAAAATTTATAATACTCCTATTTTTCGTATAGAAATCATTGTAAATATCAATTTTGAGTGAAAAGCTTCAGTAGTTACTAAATTATCGCAGTTTCTCGCTTGCTGAAATCGTTGTTGGAAGCAGTAGAAAGGAAGTGTTATAAAGCAAAAATTATCACCCCTATTCTGCAACTCTTTCGTATGCGGATTTTGCAACGAATCGTAGAAATAGTATGCTGCAATCCGAATCGTATTTTCGAACTTTCGAAATTCGTAACAATGGCATGCCTAAAAACGAACGAGTAAGCTTTTTTGCGTAATTTTGTACGACAACAATTCTGTGTCGGAGGCGACACATGTATTATATATACGTATATTTTTATCCACTGCTTTATATAAACGAGCAAAAAAGAATCTTTGTTGCCCCTTATCGAGAAACTTGGGTCCGATTTAGTTATTTGTACAACGATTTTCGGTTGTTGTGTCCAAACGCATAACCCGAATCCAAAAACTTTAACATACATGTGTAATCAAAGGATTCACATTTTATTTAAGGTAAATGTTTCGAATTTCCAGCACTAGCTTATTAATAAACTCAGTTTGCACTATGCACTTTTTTGCAAATTTCGACGTGGGTTCTGCGCAAAAATACTGTGGAGGGCGTAGCCGGAGTGATATGCACAAGAAATGTTGTATACCTTTGACATGCGGAAGCCCCTCTTCCCC